TCCCGCTGCCCCGCGCTGGGCCCGGTCACGCCGGCGAGGTGCGAGCCCGGCTGTTCGAGGGGCTTCGGGGCGACCTGCGAAAGAAGCCGTGAGCCACCTATCTCTGAACGCCAGGCCGCAGCGGAGTAGGTCTGCGGGGGGAGTAGTTTGGGGATCAGCAGGAGTTTGAATGAAATGTCGGTCTGTCAAAATGCTATCGGTGGTTTGCAGCTGGGTCCCAGGGAACGCTTTCGGCAGCGAACAAAGGAAGCTGCCGGCTCTGGTCTTCAGTGACATAGCCTTTTTCTGTTAAACAACAAAACAGCAATTATCTTCTATTAAAAAAAAAAAGTAGTCTGTTTTTATTCTATAATTGCTTATGCCAATGTTTAACTGGGAGGTGATTCAGATTAGATCTGAACAACAGCTGAGGTGAGATTGGTTTTGTGTTGCTGTTCTATCCTTGTTGTATAAACATACAGTAAAAAGGCAGAGTGCGTCTTTGACAGCAGCGAGTGCGCTGGACGAACTGGACAGTGCAAAGTAATTGTGCTCCTGGACTATAGCAGAAATGAGGTTGTTTGATGCAAGCGCAGTAGTTGTCTGGTTATTGCGTTTGGGTATATGAAAAGCCTTTTGCTTTTTTAACAGAATTTAGGCCCCATCTTATCTTCAGCGATAAGGATCTGCCTCTTGCATCGCCACTTTTTGGGCTCCTTGGAAATGGCGGCTTGTGTGGTCACTGATAATTTTTTTTTTTCCCCTTTTCTCCTCTTCCCACACCTTCCTCCCTCCCCATTTTCACAAGGACAAGTAACATTCTGTTGGTTAATGCATATCTTTGCAGGGAAGCTAGTGCCTACTTTCAGTATTTCACCACTTCCTGAGTCTGCTTCTTTATAATGTTTCCTTTGCTTCAGGAAGCCATTGTATGTACTCCATGTGTGAGCTGGTCCTCCTCTATGGCTTTTGTGCATAAACATAATAGCCAGGGATCAATGAGTGGTTTCTCACTCTGTTTCTGAAGAAATTGGGAAAAAAAATTATATATTTAGTATAAAAATTAGCATGCCTGTGGCTGGAGTCATAATCTTTAACAGTAGCAGTAAGAGCTTTCAATAGTAATTTGCAGCTGCAGGCGACCACGCACATTTCATTTTAAACACTGCGTGCTGTGAAACCAGTAAGTTCTGAAAACTCCGAGACTAATAAGTTTCTGTGTTTCAAAAACTTGTGTGAGCTGGTTTGGGGACTTGGGAGGCTTTTTTGTTTGGGTTTTGTGTTGTGTTTTGCTGTTTTTCAGAACTTTTTTTTTTTGGTTGGTATGAAAATGAAAGAGCATTTGTTTGTGGGCTATTGAATACTGTTTGTTCAACAGTAAAATACTTTGTTTTCAGAACTTTTTTTTTTATGTAGTCCTTAGCTGTTTCAGGAGGTTTCTTGGTAAACAGCTCTCCGGTGTGGTAGAGGTGGACTGAAACAAGTGGGGTTGATCTTGTTGCTTTGTGTACGGAATCTCCCTGAAAGTTGTACTGGGGGCTAGGGGGGCTACGTGAAGGATCACAGTACATAGCATGTTTTTTTTCCCTAGGGAGTATTTCAGCTGACTCTCATTAGCAATGCATTTAAGAGGGATGGACCAAGCAGCATTAAGATCCTGAAAGAGTCATATATCAGTTTCCTTTCCTTTTTTTTTTTTTTATCCCCCGATAGAATTTTCCTGGTATTTGTCCAGGCCCACAAAGTTAAGATCTGAACTTCTGATGTTAAGAATGTACAGGTGAGATCAGTATTGCCTCCTTCCTCCCAACAAGTGTATTCCACACATACTCTAAGGCATAAGGGAAGATGATGTTCCCTTTTGCATGGCCTTAGTACGTGTCCTTCCATTCAAGATATTGAACTTTAGCAGATATGTTCACTAGCTGCAAGACTCTGCAGTGTTGTGTTGGGATTTGACCGCCAGCATATAGATCCTGAGATGCGTTTCCACCAAGAGGAACTGTAGATTTGTGTGCCAGATCACATTCTGTTCTCTGTAGTTCCTGGTCCTCTTTTGCTATTGGATGCTAATAATATTCGGTCTCCTGGTGAGGTGAACTAAACTTACTTCATAATCAGTTTACTTCATGCTAAGCCTTGCGTACATTTAAGCGGTGCTGTTTATTCTTCTGTTTCAACAAAGCCCAAACTGCCATAAAATTAAATGTAATTATTTCTCTATTCTTACATATACAGGCAGCTGAAGAAGTTAGATGAAGACAGTTTAACCAAACAACCTGAAGAAGTATTTGATGTATTGGAGAAGCTTGGAGAAGGGTATGTGCTCTGTTCCAATATGCCCAATGTACGTTTCTCTAAGAACAAATCTATGTAATGGGTATGTGTTCAGTGTTCTCTGATTTTTCACTTTTGTCATGATCCTGTTACTACAAAGGTATGTACTAACATAGTGACAGTGTTTGGTTAGTAACAAAATAAAGAATTTGTTTCCCAAGAGTAAGATATCTTAATCCAAGCAGTAGCTTATGGCTCAGCAGTAGGGAGTTAAAACATTGTTGAAAAATGCCAATCTGAAGTTGATAGGGCTCTGTGGGAACTCGAAAGGTTTTGTAGTTCATCCCTGATACCTCTTGTGGAAGATCTGCATGCTGGAAGTGAACTTCTGTTGCATTGTGCCACTTGGTAAGGCAGAGCAGCATGGGAATGCTCGGTGAGTGACATGTTTGCCTTCTTAAGCAGTTCATTTGAAAAAGCTGATTTGTAAATCTGCCTGGCTGCTGTACGTAAAGAAGCTGGAAATAAGACAGATAATATCTGACAAGAACAAGCAAACCTCTGACCAGAGCTGTAGTTCTTACTGATGCTCAGCTGGTACTGTATGCTGGAAAAAGAGAGAATTGTATTTGTTGGATTAGTGTAGAAGGCCCTTCCAAAGCTATGGGCAGTGTAATGATGATTGGCTCCTTTCTGACCGTCTTAGTGTTCTGTGACTTATTTGTATTATTATAGTGTTTAGAAGCTAGTGGACTGATTATTTACATTGAAATACAAAATATTTTGAGCAGAAGGATAGTTAATTTTTTACCTGATGGCTGCACTTGCAAAACGCAAAACCATAACATTTGCATTTTTAAAATGTTGTTGTATTCAGTGTTTGTTTAATATTTTGTTTCATAGTTCCTATGGCAGTGTGTTCAAAGCCATTCATAAAGAAACGGGTCAAGTTGTTGCAATTAAACAAGTTCCTGTGGAATCTGACCTGCAAGAGATTATAAAGGAAATATCCATAATGCAGCAATGTGACAGGTAAAATGTATACTGCAAAATCGGGATGCAAAGGAAAGTATTGTCTATGATCTGGCATTGTAATGAAATAAAAGCCATTATGTTGCCTTAAATGTTTTTTAAAAGGCCGGACTTGTACGATCAAGTTACCTCGTGTTAACTGACCATTTGGGTAGTGTTAATCCAAGCAAAGGTAAGACAACAAAAATTTAGCTTGCAACAAGAGAGCATTAAGCTAAGTTGAATAACCTTGCACTTGCTGCCAGCAAAGAGCCAAGCGTGTGAGCAGTTACTGCGGTTCTGCCCATGCACCATCACTTGTTGAACAGTGGTAACTTGATTGTGTGCTAGAACAGCAGTTCCCATGTCCAAAGGGGTAATGAATTCTAGACAAGTTTTGGTATGGACATAGGAAACTGTTAGAAGAGAGTTTTTTGTTTGTTTGTGTGTGTTTGTTTTTTTTTTTTTAAGGGGCATGCGGATTAGAGCCACTAATGCATGACTGCTCTTGCATGTGCATAATCTACATGCTGTCATCTGCTTAGATGGCAGAATTGTCCTTCCTGGCCATTTTCTGCCTGTGCAGATTCTAGTGCGAAACAAGCTGTTTGCTGATCTGAGCATCCCCAGAATAACTTGCTGGCAGCTCTGCGGGCTGATGGTTGGCTCTCTGGGTTGTCTTTGCATGTTTCTTGTGGGAAAAGATGTCGTACTAACTTAGCTAATGAAGAGCTCATGGGTGCAGAAGACCTCCTCTCAAAGTGTGTCCTAGGCTGAAAGTTTAAAATATACTAATTTTTTCTGGGATTACGAATTTAGCCTTAAGAAACATTACTTTGATGTACTTCAGATGGAAAACTATTTAAAATAAATTACATTAGCAATATAAAACTGTGGTCCCAGTCACTTACTCTATTGTACTTCACTGTCACTATCTTTAAATGAAAGTGACTGGTGGCAGACAACACTTTGAAAGTATTCGTTAGTGAAAAATCTTACTGTGTAACTTGGAAAGCATTACTAGGTGTCTCTTTCCTAAAAGAAATTAAATATTAGCATTCTAAGGCCTAAAATGAGACCTTACAGTTATGAACAGCAGAGGGAGTGAATCACTGGAGCATCACGTTTTCCATGCAGGCATTAAGGGATATGTGTGTGGTTGCTAGTTTTACAGTTTTTTATTAGAAAATAATCAGCAGAGAATAGATTAAGTGCACTTTTGTTCCTTAGCTCCATTCCCACAAAGTCAGGAACAGTCTTTCTGTTAGTTTTCTGCTTTGCCTTTTCCAGAGGACAGATGGTTACGCTGATCAATAGACTTTACTAGGTGGTTTGCTTTTTGGGCAGCCAGATAGCTGACTGTGAGAGACAGTCTTAGGTTGTACTGGTTTCCTAAAATACATCCTGGACTAAATTGTAGAAACAAGTAGGTGCATGTGGTAGTGGGGGAACATTTGTCTTAATGAACATGATAGCTATTTTCCAGGAAACTGGACCTTATTTAATGTTTCCATTTGGTTGCAAATGCTCTGCAGCAGCTGTACCAGGGACTGCCATGGTCTGTTTCTCATTCCCTTGTCCTGCCTTCTTGCTTGCCATAGCACTGACCTTGTAATCTGGTTCAGGGAGCTAAACCAGATTGAAGGCTAATCGCTCCTTATTTTTATAGGATTTATGTTCAGATGGTTTAGCTCCCTGAAGTGACTTACTGGCAGGTCAGATGAGCACCACTGTGGGGAGGAGGCTTGGCAGAACTATAGTAGTCCTGTGCAACTTCAGACTGTTTTGGAATAATTTTGATCAGGGTTTCAGTGGCACTTCAGCTCTGAATTTCTAAAACTTACTTAGGGACTCTGCAGTGTATTTTGCTTATTCAGTTACGTTGGTTACTGGTATTTGACCCTTTTTTTTTCTTCTTTTTTCACATTTCATAGTCCTCATGTGGTGAAATATTATGGCAGCTATTTTAAGAACACAGACCTGTGGATAGTCATGGAATATTGCGGCGCTGGATCTGTGTCTGATATTATTCGATTACGAAATAAAACTGTACGTCCTTTCTCCTTTGAATGTATGAATGGGAAATAGGGGTGTCCAGCAGCTCAAGGAAGCTGAGTAGTTTGGGCATTCTCACGGTGTTCAATGCCTGATACAACCATTGGCCATAACTTGAGATGTGCAGGTCCTTTGCTCCTCTGAAAATGAGAAAGCTGATTACATTGGTTGAATTTTGGTTATCTGGACAATGTAATCAGTGGAGCAGATTTTGGTTTGTTGGCTTTCCTGAAAGACCGATTCTGAGTAACAGACTCTACTTTGTCTTACTTCGGTTATTGCAGGATAAGAATTACCAGTTGAGAAAGGGTTATGGTATGTGAAATATGTACGTGTGTATATGTATACTGGTTGTAATCTAATTCTACTACATAATGCTGTGAGTCGCTAACTAATTTTCCATTAGTATGGCAACCTTTAGTGAAGGCAATTAAGTGGTAATTAGTGAATCTCAGGAAAACATAGACTGAAACACAATAGTGTTACATCTCAGCAACTGATAGGTTGGCAGTAACTCTTCTTTTCTTTAGCTCACAGAGGAGGAAATTGCTACAATAGTGCAATCAACACTGAAAGGACTAGAGTACCTGCATTTTATGAGGAAAATACACAGGGACATCAAAGCTGGAAATATATTGCTAAATACAGAGGGACATGCTAAACTTGCAGATTTTGGAGTGGCAGGACAACTCACAGTAAGTAAAACCAAGATGGTGATGGTTGTATACACTTCAGTTTATCTTTTTAACCTGCATGCAAGTATGACATGCTTGTGAAGACTTTGAGAAATTGTTCTAAACTGGTTTTTAGCACTTTACATCAACATAATGAGATGCTAAACCAGCAAGAGATTAGAGCAGAGCTTCCTCTATGGAAGCTGTTATACCTAAGTAATGGTTTGCAATAGCATTTGCTGTTTTCTTCAGAATATTTGTAACTTCTGTAAGCACATTTCAATTCCTCTTTGCAGCTCTCTGTATCCCAGTGTTGCTGAATCTAATAATGTGTGTGTATGCAAATGAAAGATAATTAAGGTGATGATTCGTGAGTGAATGTTTGTGGCTAATACAATTGCCATTGTCTGGATCTTTATCCTGTTCTTCTTCTCAGGACACCATGGCAAAACGGAACACAGTTATAGGGACCCCATTTTGGATGGCTCCAGAAGTGATTCAAGAAATTGGGTATAATTGTGTTGCAGACATCTGGTCTCTGGGAATCACTGCAATAGAAATGGCTGAAGGAAAGCCACCATATGCAGATATTCATCCTATGAGGGTAACGACTGTGGCCTTTTAAAATGTATTGCTGTATGGAAAGGATTTGCTATTATAGCTGGCTGAATAACAATCAACATACCATCTTGCTTTTAATTTTAAATTTTTTTTTTCAATTCTTTGTACTGTTGATTAAATGAAAAACAGGTCTTTGAGAAGGAAAATCTGCATGGGAAGGAAAATCACGATCCTCTTCTGTTAAGACATAGCTGAAGCTCCCTGTGTTGGGTGTAAAGAAACATATTTTCAGCTGTTTAATCCAAAGTGATTTTTTTTAATGCAAGCACAGATTTTTAAGACTTAAAAATGGCAGATTCACACCTTTTGGGGCATGTAGTGGCTCAGACAGAGGTGTAAACACCTGGTGAGAAAAGTCTGATTTCTTGCTACTTGGTCCATCTGAGCAAATTTGTGTATAATATTGGCACAAACTCTTCAGAAGCAACAAACTTGAAATGTCTATCGTTCTTTAGTACCAGCGTATGTTTGTGTGTATTTATGTTGTATTGTTGGAAAGCTTTAAACTTTGTTTGGAAATCTGGAATATTCTTCTGTTTTCAGGCAATTTTCATGATTCCTACCAATCCGCCTCCAACATTCCGGAAACCAGAGCTCTGGTCAGACAATTTTACGGACTTTGTAAAACAGTGTCTTGTTAAGAGCCCGGAGCAGCGTGCCACTGCAACACAGCTTCTGCAGGTCTGCCTTTTCTTACGAGAATGTAAGCTCTAGAGAAGGCTTGCTAGGGTAGGCAGTGCTGCATGTCTGTTGAGATGTTGGTTTCATTTCTTGCTGCTCCTGCTCACTACAGATTTTACTTTTTAATACCTCATTTTAAAAATTTTACACTCATCTTCAACTTTTCAGTTCTTCTCTAAGAACCAGTCTAACTTCAATTTCCTATCTTTGTCTTCTCTGGGTTGCTTGTTTGTCTTTTGAAGTTTTGGTTTTGTTTTTTTTTTTTTACTTTCAAATTCTCACCAGCACTGCCAAGAAACTGCCTCTTAAAACACTAAAAAGGGGAGGCTAGATGAAAGTGATTGCTCAGAATGGTCTAGGTATGGTGATGATCTGTGTAATTGGTTCTTGACAGCTAAGCTGCTAAGGAAAGAAATAAGTAGAGTTTGGGAGGGGAATGAGCCCAAGGTCTCACAGCAGTAGTGCCTTTGGATCATGTTTATTTTAGCAATGTATTGAGTTAAACCTTAATTTTGATTGGAAGTAGGCCATAGTGACAGTGTCTTACTGTTATATCTTGGTTTGGATGCAGTGCTTATTTGTTTTTAAAATACTTCTCAGCATCCATTTGTTAAAAGTGCCAAAGGAGTGTCAATTCTGCGGGACTTGATTAATGAAGCAATGGATATCAAGCTGAAACGTCAAGAGGCGCAACAGCGTGAACTAGATCAAGATGATGAAGAAAATTCAGTGAGTATTTATTAGCAACAGTGTATGAAGTCTTGCTCCTTTTGTAAGGCTTAGCTGCTTTGGGTTTTGGTTTTGCAATGTTTTGTCCAATTGCCCACGGATTTGACTTAGTTCTCCAGTTTTCTACTTTATGACTGCTTAACCTGACGCTTGGTCTCTGCTCAGTCCTTACATTTGAGTGGGATAGCCAGCATGTATGGCTTACTGTTTAGGTTAGTGTGTAGCTAGTGACCTGCAATTGAATAAGTCTACAAAGTAGTGTATGCAAAAGACTTGATACGTTTTCCCAGTTGGATTATATTATTTATGCAGTAATGAGAATTTTTCATTGTAGATTCAGTTCTTAGTTCTCCTAGTATAAAATAATAATATCATCCGTCGTGCACTATGATATAAGTACGTTATGTTGTTTTACTATTGTTGTGCTTTAGAACCTTCCTTATAGAAACTTTCTACTACACAAGAGCAACCGACAGAAGCCTGAGGTGAGGGCATGACAAGTGTTCAGGGGATTGCTGTGAATTTAAGTTCGAGCTCCTTGTTTCAGTGGTTACAGCATGTGAATATGGAAAGCATGTTGAAAGCTGTTTTTTAAGTCTCTGCCTGCTTCAACCCGAATAAATGAAACGGGCAGCAAAAGGCATTGTATACCAGAGTCCTTTTCAGAGGTTAGACTTGAATAGCATGGTCACAGTATCTATGCTTGAAGACATTGTTCATCTAGTTTTCCAATTTAGGACTGCCTATTTGTTCAATGTGGAAGTATCTTTATTGGTCATGTTGCCATGATGTTGACTCCAAGAGTGTTGTCCCTACCCTCTCTCCTTCATTTCTGACTGATCTGGAGTCACATTGCTGGGAGATGGTGTCTATGTAGTGGAGTCGAGTGGTTTCTGTCGGGGGGGGTGTGTGTTTTCCTAAAGCTTCTCTACTCTGTGTCTGCTAGCGGAAGAGTGTTCCCAGGCACTTCCCAAGTGCTGTGGAAATTTCTGCTGTAGTCCTTTGTTAAATGATGTGTAGCTAACAAATGTATTACTTCCTCTCACCCACTCATCTCCACATAAAATTACTTTTCCTCCATTAACGTCTCCTGCAGTTTTCTCCTCCTCTTGCTATTGGTTTTGAGGTTGGAAAGTAAATTATGTAGACAGCTTTGACAGAACAGATAAAATGCATGGAACACCAGAAGGTGGAGGAGTGTGCTTCTTTCTTTCAATGACATTGAGATGCAGTATTACAGCTTGATGTGTGAGACCTGTGTTTTCCCTCTAACAGTAATACAGATCAGTAAGCCCATAGTCATGCATAAAGAACTGTGAACTTCATCCTTATAACAAAACATGAGCATCTCATCCAAGGTGAGATGCTAGAAACTCTACTGTAAACCTAGGAAGTGACTTCTGTTGTTGTAGTTGGATACTTGGTCCACGTTTCCAAGAAACTAAATAGATTGTGGAAATTTTTACCTTGTTCTTCGTGAAATCCTAGTCACAATATATACTTAGTGAAGCACACACCACCTAATGAAACTACAATCCCTGGCTGATGTAACTATCTGCCAGGAAGTTGTCCTACCAGAATTTGTTTCAGGAGCTTGTGGGTTTTTTGTGTCAGTCTCTTGAGCCTTGACAGCAATAATTCAAACTTCTGTAATATTAACAAATGGAAAGATAAGAAATAATTTTCATCTGAAAACAATGACTAGACTTTGATAATTTCATCCCTTTTTAAAGATTTGCAAATTCAGTTCATTTTTCTTCAGTGCTTCTCAAGTTTATAGCAAGTAAAACTACCTAAATGTTCAAGACAGGCTCCTAAAAAATAGGGCAATCATTTTTCTCCAGTGTGCCACATGCACTCCAGGCTTAGACCTATTGCTGTCTATAACTAATGACTCCTCACTGAACTTTACCACTTGAGATAGGGGTTTTAGGTTAACAGTTAAAACTGGCAACATGAATAGAAACACTAATGACTGAATGAGTATTGTAATCTACTCTTACAGACAGGTCACCAGGTCAGAAATGAGGTACAAGATGCATTGAGAAGCTTTGGCTGATTATTTATCTGTTCTCCTATTTATTAAGCTGGCAGAAAAGTATAAAGACTTTTCATTACCTGCTTGGAGATGACAGGGAGAGAACTAAGTACATAAAATGTCGTTGGCTTCCATGTGTATTTGTAAAAATCTCTGAATTAGTAAGACTTGCTAGTGTCCTTGAGTACAGACACTCTTTGTGGGACTACACCACCATCACTAAAAGTGGATCTATGGCATCCTTGTACAGGAAGAAGATGAAACTGATTCAGGTACCATGGTGAGGGCAAGTGGAGATGAAACTGGTACCATAAGAGCTGTCAACACGATGAGTGATGGAGCCAACACAATGATAGAACATGATGGCACCTTGGAATCCCAGTTGGGTACAATGGTCATAAACACCGAAGAGGAAGAGGAGGAGGGCACCATGAAAAGTAAGAAAACATCTTTAACTTCTAGAATATTACTTAAGACCTAATGTGGGCTATGATATGTATTCCCAACCTGCTTTGCTGGTTTTTGTAGCTTATTGTGATGTCTTTTGGTTGTAGGGAGCTAAAACTCCTAGGTCAATGCCCGCTGGCAGTAGAGAAGAGAGACTCTTTCTAGGTCCAAGTTTTAAGCCGTTCTTTTTAGTCTTGCACTTGGTATAGCTGATGAATTGTGCACAATTTCCTCAAGTTTCTGTGCTGATCAAATAAGATCTGATTCTAGCTAGTATGGTTTTTTTGTTGGTTCTTTTTTGTCTGTTTTGTCCTACAGAATGTAGAGGAGGGAGACTCTAGCACAGGGTTAATAAAAAAATTTGTGTTGCTTTAGAAGGTGATCTGGCTGTAACCTGGCATGTGAAAACAGCAAGTCTGTTTCAGAATTGATGCATCAAATTAAGGGCTACGTTTATGAAATGACAGATATCTTGCACATTTCAAACACAGCAAGGCACGCAGTGGGAGGAGCGAGCATCTCTAGGCTTGTGTGTTTCTTTAGTGTTACTTTAATCATTAAGGACAACTGAATAAACTGTGTGGTGCTGTTCTGAGACATTCAAGTTGAAATCTGTTCTGCCCTAAAATAGAAAAGCTTACTAAAACTACATGCCTTGTCATACGATGTAAGATTTAAGATGATGTGACTTTGATCCCCGATAGTCTGTGGAAGACCTCACAGCTTTAGCTGGAAAAGGGTTAAAAATGTATCTTTGATTAAAGAAATGGCAGGGAAAGCCTCCCTGGAAAAGTGACTAGAAGAAAAACAATATTTTCTCAATTATGGATTCTCATAGAAATCTGTTCCCCATGACTGGGTAATCTCAAGAGTATTGAGGCAGAGGTAGTCACAGATGACTCAGCTGGCCAGCACGGATGTTTGTTCAAGGACCGAGGAAAGTGCTGAGTGGGGGCTAAACAGTAGTTAAATATGACCATCATTGGCAAGGCTTGTTGTTTTGGCTCTTGCACTGCTTCCAAAGACTTGACTATTGTGGGGGAGGAAAAAATTCTTAATGGGATTTTTCCAAACTCCTTTTCTCAGGAATTTCTGTGTTGAAAGCTTCTTCCATGTGGGGGCTCTCTAGAGCTTGTGGAAAGATGCTGGTTTTGAGTGAAATTTCAGCAGAATCCGTTTAAAGAGTTTTCCAAACTTTGGCAAACACTGATTCAGCACATTAAAAAACAGGTGTCAGCCCATGTAGCAGCTTGTGGCAACAAAGTCAATGGAGTAATGCCATCGGGTTTTGTGGAACAAGGTAGCTCTAGCAAGGAGACAGATGGATGCTTAGAGTATCTAAAAGGTCACCCAAAGAGTGGGACATGTTAACAGCCTTAAATAAACCTAGTGAAGTTGCAGTTTCTTTACAAACAGACAATACAGTTAGTTTCTCATCATCAGTGTGTATTGTTCCATTTCATGATTCACAATTACAGAGGTTTTACTGTCTGTGGTGCTCCTGCACAGGCTACCAAAGGTGTGTAAGTAAAGTGCCTCTTCACTTTATCTTCCTGTGTTTAACATGTGCTTATCTTCTCAATGTCTTTTTAAGATTGCAATGCTTGTAACTCAAAAGCATCTAATGCTCTCTATGAAGTAGTGTACAAAGGTTTGAGGAGATGCCTTTGATAATCTCTCTTCTGCAAGGACATACTCTCATTTTGAGTAGAATCAGTTATGAGGATATAGCAATGTCTTTAATATAGTGTAGTATCTAACCTCAAGAGGGAGCTCCAAAACAAGCTCTAAGAGCTCTAGATCTCTGGAACTAGAAAGTCGAGTTTTTATTTTAACCCCCCTTTAGACTTCTTAGAAACACACTGTTCTTCAACTGCTGCCATGTAACAGTATTCAAAGCTGAGTATGCGGCAGAAGTGCTTGAGCAGCTCTGCCTTCTGGAGGAACCATTTTGAGATCCTGGGTGCAAGTGATGGTTGACACTGGTACCGCTTTCACGTCGATGGGTTTCACAGTAGTATCACAGTAGTATCTAGTGAAACCCAGCTGCACTCAGCGCTCTCTCTTAATAACTTGTACCTTGATTCCAAAAAATCTGATGTTAATGAAAATGATTGTGCCAGACTAAAACTTAACTTTCCCTTAACACCTTATTCTCCTCCTTCCCCAGTAGCATCATTCTGAAATTTTGGCTGCTGCACAGAGCAGTTCTGTGTTTGTTTCTTGGACGCACTGCAAGGCAGTGTCTTTGAGCAGCTTGCCCTTCACATGAATTGCCTATAGCTCCATTTTTCAGCTTGCTATTTCCATATTCATGTTCTCATAATATTCAGTTAAATTAATTTAACTGTAAAGCTCATCAGGCTGCTGCAGAACTCTCTGGAGCAAGTTCTTTTGGTAATCTTAAATATAAACGTAATAATGCTGTTTGGAAACCACTGAGTTTGAAGAAGCTTCATTGATTCATGTTTTTAAAGATGTCTATATTTCATTTGGCAGCTTGTGTTATGAATCACAATAAAACCTGTTTTAAGTCAATAAAAAAGTTCTGATTTTTTTTGCATGGCGTTAGTAGGAGAATTTAGCTTCCCTAGGTGTCTTGGGCTTTTTAACTGCAGGCTTCTGAGCTTACGTTCTAGCCCTTTCTCCTAATTTAAAAAAACAAATCTGTGTCTTCACCAGGTTTTCATTTGCTTTTATTTCTTTTTAATGTAAAAAGTCTTTATAGGACATTGAAATACGAGGCTTTAGATAGGAGTGTCTAGCAAACAACTTCCTGTAGCCTTGAAAGTGATTCTTGCATAAATCAATTCATGATTTTGTCAGGGTCAGAGGAAAAGCTTTCTTAAATTCCAGTATTTTACATTGTAGGGGAAGTTTGTTTTGTGCTCAATTCAGCTGTAATTCTGTTTGCTTAAATTCTTTCATTTGCTTGGCTTTTTTCTGGGCACTCAGTATAAATACTCAGGCAGCATTAAAAATGTCACTATGACATTCTGTTACGCATTTTGAAAGCACTCAAGTGATTGCCTGAAACCACAGATACTAAATTGCGCTGCGACACATTTCACTTATAAATCGATTGCTAACAGATTACTTATGGATTGCAGTTAAACTATTCCAGGAAAACTTTGGAAGTAGCTGAAGAACTGTAGATGAACAATCATTTGTAATAACAGACACTTCCATTGTGCTTGAGAGCTGGAAGAACTTTTGAACTGTTAATATGTCTGAAATCATCTTTTTGTAATTTTTCTATGAGAGAATATATAGTGCTTGTAGAAAGTGCAGCATTTTTTACTCTTTCTTTTTTTGCTTTTTCTTCTTAGTTTGCTGTAGGTCTTTAAATAGTGGAAACTTGGCGTGAGTTTGTCTCTTCGATTTAAAGAGCGGAACGTAATTTTATAATAAAGCAGATAAATATATTGCCTTCCTTGGACTCTGCAATATGATCAGATCCAAGTGAAATAGGATCTAGTTTGTCTAGTACTATAATCTGTTCTATTTTCTATATTAAAGTGCCTCTTGCTTGTTTAAGCACCAAATAAAACAACACTGGAGAATGTAGAACTGCCAACAGTAGTGTGAGTTGGGCTATCTGGTTTTTGGGGCGAGGTGAATGAGGGATTTGGAGAGGGTGGAAGAATTGTGGGGTTTTTGTTCATGTGGCATGCGTTCAGTAGAGCCTCTGGTGCAGAGGTAGGCCAGAAGCTCTAATATCGCTGTTGCCTCTACCTTGTAATGTAATGTGCAGGTAAAAATTCTTAATAGTTTGTGAATATTTAAAATAAAAAATTCTAGGCTTAATTCTTATAATAAAGTTAGGGGTGGTTTAGCTTTTGTTATGCTTTTACCGTGCCCACACTGCTAAGCGTGGTTGTGTCCTTTTAAAAAGATATTTCCCCTTTTGAGGGGAGATTGGATTTCATTAGCAAATTAAATGAGCTGAGATGCAAATTTGGCAACTTCCTATTAGAAAAATGATTCAGAGTAAGCTTGTTAGTCTTGGTGGCTTTGTGAGGCATCCAGGGGGTGACATTTAAAACCTAAACCAGAGAAGTGTTACTGCCAAGACTCAGGAAACTTTTTGTCTCCACTAATTAACCTGTAATTTTTCATGAAAAGCAATGACTGTAAAAGCCGTAATGTGAACAGCAGAATGAATATGGATGGCAGAAGGTTTATATGATTGCATTAATATTATAATTGAATAAAGTATTACTGGTATGTAGCTGAGGTACCTATAGGTCTTGTAATATCAGTAGTTGTCCAAAAAAGTGCAGATGCATGTTATCCAAATAGCTAGTGCAGGTACTGTAAAGAATAGCTCCACATTTTCTCGGGATTTACATCATGTGTACGTCAAAGATACTGGCTGTGTTTTACCTCTGTTTTTATCCGAGGACAATAGCTCTTCTTAGCATCTTCCCGCTACTTAGTGTTATTAATGTCCAGTGGTACATTTCTGCGTTTAGAATAAATTGGTCCATTTAGGCATAATTGGACCATAAAACACTCTTAGCGTTATGCATTTAAATAACACACTGTTTATAGAAACACCTACATTGATTAAATTCTTCTCGAACTGTAAGAAGCATTGTGCTGCCACTCTTGAGGTATGGAGAATATAAATCTTCACAGATAAGTCTTCTAGCTGTGTTACTTTCTGACTTTTATCTTAATAGCAGCCTTGCTGGCAAACTTGACATAAACAGCAGCAGCACAGTTTGTTTAAGAATATCAAGTTGTGCGGACATGCAGACAGTATTTTTGAGCGACGGGAGGAGTTGTATATGCTGTCATTTTGTTGTTGGGTTTTTGCTGTGGGTTTTGGTTTTTCTGTTTGAATAGTGGTAGGCTACCGGACTTCGGTGCGGTGTGTTAGCAATTGAAATAGTGGTTCTGTGCAGACTGAAGCATGACAAAAACTTAAGTCTGGGATCTGAGTTGGATGCTTGTCCACCTTTGGTTGTCCTGAATATTTGACAAA